ACACACACACACACACTACACACACCACACACTATACACACCAAATACACATACAGACACACCACACACACACACCCCACACACACATACACACCCCGCACAGCAACACTTCCTACCTGAATACCATTTATAAAATCCTCAAATGGACATCCGTACACTGAAACGTGATGCAGACATTTAAATCCAGTTCATACAAAGATTTTTTTCCAAAAATTATAAGAAAAGTAAAACAAATATCTTTATTCTAAAAATTATATAAGTTCATTAAAAAAAAGAAGAATCTAAACAACACTGGGAGAAACCAAAGTAAAGTAAAACTAATATTGAGTCCCAACAGTCGCCATGTGTCAGCAGAACGATGGCCCACAAAGATGTCCACATTCTGATCCCCAGAACCTACGGATATGTTAGGTCAAAGGAGAATTCAGGTTGCAGTTGAAATTGCGGGTTTTTTTTTTTGTTTGTTTGTTTTTTAAGACGTATTTATTATTTAATTTATTTACTTTTGGCTGCGTTGCTTCTTAGTTGCGGCACGCAGGATCTTCGCTGAGGCATGCAGGATCTTTCATTGCAGCGCTTGGACTTCTCTCTAGTTGTGGTGCACAGGCTCCAGGGTGCGTGGGCTCTGTAGTTGTGGCGCACAGGTTCCAGAGCACGTGGGCTCTGTAGTTGGCGGCACGGCACACAGGCTCAGTAGTTATGGCGTGGGGCTTAGTTGCCCCGCGGTACGTTCCCTGACAAGGGATCGAACCCGTGTCCCCTGCATTGTAAGGCAGATTCTTTACCACTGGACCACCAGGGAAGTCCCCGAAATTGCACTTGTTAACAGCTGACCTTAAAATGAGAAGATTATTCTGGATAATGTGGGTGGGCCCAGCGTGATCACAAGGGGCCTTAAACCAGAGAGAGGGCAGCACAGGCTGAAGACAGAGGGGCTGGGGCCGGGCAGGGCAGCAGCTCTGGAAGCTGGGAAAGGCAGGAACAGACCCCACCCTGGCCTCCTGAAGGAACACAGCCCTGCGAACGCCTTGATTTTAGGCCAGGGAGACCCACTCCAGACCCCTGACTCCAGACGGTAAGATAACCGTGTCCTTGTAAGACACTGTGGTAATTTGTCACAGAGGCGATAGGAAACCGACACACACACAAAACATTCACTGCATTTGGGGAAACCCCATTTCGAATTTCTGTTTAAGTGTGTAAGCATTTTTCCGTTCAATCTTTTCTCTGCCTTTTAAAAAAATTATACCCTCAATTCAAATTCTTCATCCATCCTTTTTCGTTAAATGTCATGTAGTAAGAATTTTCCAATGACATTAAAAATTCTCAAGAATGTGAATCTGTCTATCTCTGCGGGAATGTTCCCAGCCAAATCTCTAAACACAATAAAAATCTCCAGATAGGATTCTGCGGGGTCGGGTTACCCGTGGACCGGGAGTAGCTCCACTGAAGGCGCCAGTCGGCCCTGGTAGCTTCGGCATAAACATAACATCTCGCGGACATGCCGGCGCAGGGGCGTCTGGGGCGCCAAGCAGTGGGTCGTCAGTCTCCACGTCTGCTCGGCCTCCACTGTTGGGCCTGAGTCCTGGCCCCGCAGGGACAGAGAGGGACTTGGAGGCACGGTTGGACTCCTCAAGCTAGCCTTCATTCATTCCTTCATTCACTCATTCAACAAACACGTATTGGGCATAAGTACCAGATGCTGAGATGTGAGAAATAGGAGTGAGTGAGCTTTGCGCAGTGTTTCCACTGTCTTCATAAGAATGAAATACGGTACATGAGCCACGAGAAATAAAATGTCCAGAGAGGTAAGTGCTTATCTGTGCTGGGAGAGCCTGATTACACCTCTCACCACGGCTGCGGCCTCGTGACCGTGTGCCCAGCTGGACCGAGAACCCCTGGGGGCAGCGCACGCCGTCCTACTCACGTGCGTTCAGAGCCTCGCACAGAATAGGTACTTAATCACTATTGGTTGATTGAATAAATTTAAATGAATCAACCCACAAAGCAATTCTGCCTGTCACTTGCCTAAGTCTTTCTGAAGGATCCTTGTTCATTAAAAATGAGATTCTCCTGGAAAATCCAGGGTCTGGAACTCATCAAGGAAGTGGCATTCACGGGTGTGCCACCTGTGGAGTTCCCTTGCAGGAGAAAGGCATGGCTGACACAGATACACAGTAATTTTGCTGATAAGAAGGGCTTTAGGGAAGACAGGTCCTAAAGACGTGTATTCATTCTGCAAAGGGAATGAACGTCTTCGGTGAAGATGAGTGGGGTCTAGGAGCAGAGAAAAATACGTCCCATCTGAAACGCAGCACATGGGGAGGAGGTTAAGGAGAACGCAACGGCAGAATTGTACCCCTTCCATCCTTTCCCACAGAGTAATCTGATGGCATGTTGCTGCAGGATTTGAAATTGCACCTCAAATAATGGAAATGCTACAAGCTAGACAGTGTTTCCATGGGTTGACAGATTAAGGGGCTTTCCTCAAAGCTGCACGTAGTATATGCTGGTCAGATCAGTTCATCCATAGATGTTACAGATTACTGATACCAAGAATATACGATACTTTGAGAAGGGAAAACAAACAGATCTACACCAGTGCCTAAGGACTGCAGATGTCAGGACACCAAGAAAATCCAATCAATCTTGTGGAAATAAATGAAAACCACCCAGATGAGAGTGGGCAGAGGCCGTTCACACAGAACCTGCTGGGGAGGGGGGCTGGCCTTGGTCAGGAGCCTTTGGGAGAGGCTGAAAGGCAGGCAGGGCCGTGGGGCAGCTGTCCAGGGGGAGAAGGGAGGGTATTTGGGGGCCCTCACGGAGGCTGAGGTGGGGCAGGTGCAGTGCGCCCAACTAGAAGGGCTTCCTCAGGACTGGTGTCTCTGGCTGGTCCTCGGGGGAAGCGGGGACAGACTCAGGGCAGCGGTCAGTGACGATCCAGTCCTGGCCGCTTGGTCGACTGTCACCGGGTTGTTGTTGGGCTTCATGGACTGGCTGCAGGACCCCCTACACGTGTGACCTCCGCAGGCTGGGCCCTGGGCCGAGACTGCAGAGGACGGGCTGGGCCCTGGGCTGCCTGCTGCAGGTGTGGGCCAGGCTCTACTTTTTGTGTTCTGGCCGTCGTTCGTTGAAATACGGTAGCCCTCACCCATCCACACTTTCTCTTTCCACAATTTCAATTACCTGTGGTCAACTGTGATCTGAAAATATTAAATGGAAAATTCTAGAAGTAAAAAGCACTTCATAAATTTTAAATTGTGCACCGTCTGAGCATCGTGATGAAATCTTGTTCCGTCCTGCCCGGGGCATGAATCACCCCTTCGACCAGCACCTCCTGCTTGTCAGTCACTTAGTAGCCGTCCTGGTTATCAGATCAACTGCCGAGGTGTCACAGCGTGTTTTCAAGCGACCTTTACTTTACTTAGTAATGACCCCAAAGCTCAGGAGGAGTGATGCTGGGAACTCGGCACACTGTGCCTAGCTTATAAATTACAGCTCTGTCACAGGGGTGTGTGGACAGGAAACACATCGTGTATGTAGGGTCCGGTACTCTCTGCGGTCTCAGGCATCCACGGGGGGTCCTGGAACACTTCCCTGAGGATCCGGGGGAAGATCATATGTGTTAAGAACCCTTAAAAACTGGCTTTTGAATTGATGGCGCTGCAGACCTGCATGCTTCATGTTTCAGTAGGGACCACACGAATTCCCACTTTTAAATCCCATATTCACGGGGTCTAACTTGGGTACAATTTCTTTCAAAATAATATTCATACTCATCCCCCCAGTGGGACAAGATTCTGAGATTTCTTTACCTATAGGCAGCTCTAGTGGGTAAGATGAGAACATAACTTTTCCCTTCCTATCATAGAGACATAAGTTGGTAGAAAGGGTTCTGTTCTCCAAAGAGCATTAAGAGGTACTTAATATTTCCTAGATTTAAAAAAAGCCTTGAGAAAGTCTTATCAATGTCCTAGGAGAAAATGAGTCAATTGACTCAGAGAGTACATCACGGAACAGGCAGACCACTTGGCTGTCACCGTTTATATGTAATTTTGAAGCAATTTCTAATCAGAGGCAGTAGCTCCTGTGCTCTGTCTGTCTCCCTCTCCCCTCTCTCTCATTTCTGCCCCCATTTTCCTGGGTCATCCTGCAGGACCTTCCTCGGGGCAGCTGTAGCCCTGCTCCCACACTGCTGGATGGATTACCCAGCAGTTCCAAATGATGAGCTCAGTGATTGGCCATTATTTCAGATTGGTGCCACAGACTTCAAAATAGGCAGGAATTATTTTTCTGTGGCAGCATCCTTGGCCCAAGAAAAAGGGAAAAAAATGTCACTTTTGTCACAATTGTACACTGAACGTGATTAGAGGAAGATGAGCCTGGAGTATAATTAGAAACGTGTTAGAAAGGGTTCTTGATTTTTACATGAGGACAGGAAGTAGAAACAATATTTGACCTTTTGGAGGTAAAAGTTACCTACTGAGGTAAAAGAGAAACATCTGGGGGTGATGCAGAAGACGTTCCTATTTGAAAATAAATCAGTCTTCGCAGGGATACCACGTGGGCAACGAACTATCAAGCTTTAACATATTCATCTTTGCTGTCTGTCCTGTAAAAGTACCCTTTTCCTTCAGAGAATAGGTTACTGAGCCTACTGAGCCGTATCTGAATTTTCCCTAAATCTCTCTTGTCTTTAGACAAGTTGCTAGAGTTCAGCTGTTTTTCACAGACCCCGCGACCCAGCCTGGGCTGAGAGGAGTGTTCATTCAGGAAGTAGGAGCTGATGGAGCCCTGTAAGGAGAACCCAGTTGCCCTCAGATGAGGAAACAGACGGTCTGAGAGGACCCCCGTCCTCTGGTTCTCAGTACAAGGACTCTCGGAATGTTGCTGTTCCCAGGCAAAGATTCTCTGTGTGCAGAGAGTGAACCGTCTTCTCCCTCCTCTTCTCCTTCTCCTTCTCCTTCTGTCTCCTTCCTCTAGAGCATTTTGACGGGGGTTCTAGGCATCAAAGAGTTTAGTAATAACTGCATTTCCTTCAACTGGAAACTTGCCACCTGGCCCCTTCCCCAGATGGAATCGTCCCAATTCCCTGAGGAAGGAAGACCCAGGACCCACCCGGACACAGGAGAGCCAGCACCTGGGGTCCCTGTCGCTCTCCCCAGTTACCGGTTTGTCTCTAAATGCTCGGAATTCCTCTGTTTTTCTACTTGGCTTCCAACGTTGCCAGCTTGGGAGCAGCATGAACCGTTTCCAGCCCCAGACTCCGTCATGGTCACACACGGAGGCTCCTGAGGCGTCTTCCTTCCTGCAGCTCCTGGCGCATCCCGTGAATGTGGAAAGTTTCTACCTTTTCCTGAGAACTCCTTTCAGTTCCTCTCACGTAAATGAGTTAAACAGCTAAACACACTTGGTTTTAATAATTTTCGTCGGAAATTAAGGTGCTTTGCCCCAGTTCCAGAAGCCGGCCGTTCGGTGTCCCTGCCCAGCTTCCAAGGGGAGAGCCACACCTAATTCAGAAGGAGATCATCGTGCGCAGTGGCAGGTGCCCCGGGGTGGAATCTGATGCTCTGCTCGCTTCACTTGGTTTTGCTGTGTGCTGTTTTAATTGTGTGAACCCACAGATCCATTTTAGGGTTAATTAGACTGCAAATCCTAAACACGCAAATACAAACACACCTGCTATCTTTTCCTTTAAAAAAGATAGTCTGTGGCAATAATCAATATTTTACACATTATGTAGCAAAACATGAGGAAGGGGGTCTTTTGTGCATAGATGGGCCAAAATCACCTCGCCAACTGCTGCCTGCCGTCCTCTGAGGGCAGGAGATTTCAAACGTTGTCACAGGTCTGCTGTCATTTGATGCCACGCGTCTCTCCCGGTGACACGTGACAGCTTGAAGAAATGGCAGAGTCTCTTAGGGGTGAGTGCCCGCAGGTGAAAAGGTCCTTGTAATGGCAGCATACAAGCTTCCCTTTATTTTGTGTCTTGGACAGCTTTTCCCTAGGACGTGCCTCTGAGGGGTCTTGGAGGACCCACGCCTCTTGTACTCTGGGGGAACACTGGGCAGAGCGGCTGCGGCCCTGCCCTGCCTGTCCCCCCCCTCAGGCTCCCGCATGGACGGTCCACCCGTTGGGGATGGCCCCCGGGAGGGCCTGTGCGCCCCTCCTCCGGGCCAGGCCCCGTCCGCCTCCCCTGCTGCTGCTCTGACCTTTTGTTGCCTTGTGTGAACTGCCTCCACAGCACAGTGAGCTCTGAGCCTTTGGAAAACATTTCTGTATCCCCAGAGTGAGTGTAAAATCTATGGGCATCATTTTGAAGAGTTTTAAACAATTATCTGAATTGCTGACTTAGTGTGAAACATTAGTGCTTTTTAAAAGTTTTCAAATGGCTGCTTTACAACCAAAACGAACGAGACGTTCCTCTGGGCAGAGGACACAGAACATCAACTCCTGAGCGACATTCCGCTGCGGAGGCGCTCGGGACCCTGAGTCCCCTCTGGCCCCACCCGGCCCTTCCCGCCGGCAGCTCCTCAAGGAAAACTCCTGGCGTGTTTTCCCTTCAGGTTACAGGAAGCAGGGCTGTTTGCCCTGTAGCAGGACGGCCGTTGTTTTACAAACCTATGGGTGGATTTTTTACTCACAAAGGGAATGTTTAGAATAACAGCTGTAAACTGCAAACCCACTTGCTCTTACTTTCCTCCAAGTGCAGTAGTTACGTGGGAATACAGCCAGCGTTCAGCTCTCTGAAGTCAAAGGCTGAAACGTCAGGGCCTCGCCTGGGGCCCTGATACCCCCGCACACCCCCCAGCTGTGCAGCTGTCACAGGCCACGCACTGCCACGAGGTGACAGCAAGCTTCCCTGGAACATCTTCCGCTCCAGCGTTGGGCTTGAACATTTCCCCAGGATGGATTCGGTACAAATTCCCATCAGTAAGTACCCAGCGTCCGACATTTCTGAGAAGAGGACCACGCAGTCCCTGTAGGGCGGAGCCTTCGGACTCTCTTTGCCCAAAGAGCAGGGGTGTTGCTCTCCTATCACAAAGCCTGGAGGCGGGTGTTCTCAAGGAAGGACACTGTTGCTCTCTTTCCGCGTTTTAGCTCCAAGGCACTGGCGTCTTTTCAGGCCCGTTCCCCCTGGTTAGAGGATGGGGGCCAACCTCGCGGGAGAAACCAGAGGGCCTCTCCTCACACGGCCCTCCTTTTGCAGGTTTGAAGCACACCCCCCCCTTGAAGACCACGTCGGAGTGCTGGCCGTGTGGGGCCGAGCCCTCGGATAAAGTGGTCACTCAGAGGAGAACAAAACAGCCAGAAAGGCCAGCGGTCACTCCTGGGCGGGGCTCAGCCCCGTGCATCACCCAGGAAGGGCGCTCGGAAACGAAGCTGGGCTCCGAGGGTGGGTCCGGGGTCTGTGCTCCAGCCAAGCCTGAGACAGGGAGCCCTCGTCACTTCAGAACGAGAGACTGACCGTGCGCATGGACACGGCCAGACCAGGTGCAAAAGTGGAACCCTGGCCCATAGCCTGCAGCAACCAGCCCATGGAACCAGCCTGCCCTCTGCACTCACCTGCCCAGGGCCCAGCCCCTCACCTGTGGTCACCTGCCCAGGGCCCAGCCCGCCCTCTGCACTCACCTGCCCAGGGCCCTGCTGAGGTCAGGCTGCGTCTCCAGCAAACAGTCCAGGAAGCCCAACACCAAGCCCACGACAGTCGACCAAGCAGCCAGGACTGGATCGTCAAAGACCGCTGCCCTGATTCAGTCCCTGCTTCCCCCTGAGGACCAGCCAGAGACAGCCTTTTACTTGTTTGTAGAAAATAATCTGCAGCAAATGTCACCTAAAATGCCCAGCCAGCCCAGAGCCCATCCTAGACACCCCGCGGATGGACAGACGGTGACCCGGGGCACAGGGAGGTGGCTGTCGCCATGCTCTGTCCCTGCTGGGCTCCTCAAACGGTGTTTCTTTGTCCAGGCACAGAAGGAGGCTTTTCCAGGCACCGCTGGGACCTGTGTCCCCCAAGCAGCTAAGACAGTGGCATGCAGCCCGAAAGTTGATGAACCCGACTGTCTGGCTTGTGGTTACTAACGTTCCACCCCTCCCTGTCGCTCCTCTGGAGGGAAAGCTGTGTGGTGCAGACCTCAGTGCTGGAACGCGGGCCCTCCCTCAGGCCAGCGCATTTATCCACATGAGACCTCGGCAGGGACCCAGCCCCGCGAGGCTCCGGCCGTGACAGACGCTGAGGGGCCGCAGCCCCCGCCCCTACAGGGCCTCGGCGCCCAGCCTGGTGGGCAGACGGCCCAAGCTCAGACGTTTTCCCACAAAACGGGGTCAGCAGGGAGATGGACGGGCTGTAGCCCCTGGCCCAGAGATGATCACAGAAGTGCTGTGTGTCCCGACGGGGCGTTCACTGCACACAGTGCGGGAGCATCCTGCCCCGAGGCCGCGGGCAGCTCAGAAACCCTCACGGGTCCCCTAGCTCTGGGGTCCCCAAGTGGGCTGCCGGCTGCAGTGCTGGCCCCTCACGTCCCCTCCGCAGACAGGGCCCCAGAGAGGAGGTGGCGGGCGCAGGAACCCTGGTGCTCTGGACATAATGTCCCCCAAGTGCACCCCCGGGTGGGAGTGAGGAGGGGGGCGCCCGAGGTGGGATCAGTGCTCTTGTAAGAAGAGGCGGAGGTCAGGCGCCGTCCTCGGGCCAGGAAGAGGCCTCACCAGGAACGGAAGCCCAGCCCCTGCCTCTGTGTCTGAGCAGCCACGCGGGTTCCAAGCAGATCTGAGCCACACGGAGCACCTGACCCGTTAGGATGCTTTACATTTCGTGTTCCTGTTGTCACTCTCACCGCAGCCTTTGCCATTTGTGTATTTGTGCCTCCCCACGTTGCCTGGATGAGGCCATCTAATGATTTATCTACTCTGTTTTCCAAAGAATGTTTGTCACCCCCTTTCCCTCTCATTAAACTCTGCTTTTTTTTTGGTGGTACATGGGCCTCTCACTGTTGTGGCCTCTCCCGTTGCGGAGCACAGGCTCCGGACGCGCAGGCTCAGTGGTCATGTCTCACGGGCCTAGCCGCTCCGCGGCATGTGGGATCTTCCTGGACCGGGGCACGAACCCGTGTCCCCTGCATCAGCGGGTGGACTCTCAACCACTGCGCCACCAAGGAAACCCTAAACTCTGCTTTTATCTGTAGTAATTCCTTCCCTCTGCGTCCCTTCAGATAACTTTTTGTTCTTTCCCCAGCTTTTTGAGTCACATGCTTAATTAATCTATTCTCAGTCATTCTTTTTTATTATTACAAGTGTCTGAAGCTATGGATTTTCCTCTTCTGGCTGGATTTTCTGTTGACCTCAACAATTTATTCTAAACTAATATGAAAGCAGAAATGCCTGTTAGTAAATGTGATTTCTATTAAAAGGGGACAAAGGAGGGAAGATAAGTCACAATACAGGTAGCAAGGACCCATCATTGTGGAAGCTGGGCAGGGACTATGGGGTATTTGTACTGCCCTCTTCTCTAGTAATTGTTTTAAATTTTCAATGATGAAACTCTTTTTTTAAAATTCAGTATCGTACTGACACAGGAACATTTTCACAGACGAATGGAACGAGGAGAGTTTAAACAGTGACCCAGATAGACGATCCAGGAGACATCACAAAGCAAGTGGGGAATAGTCATTTAGTCTGTGTGAGGAGAAAATGACTGCATGGGTAAGAGTAGCACTACTGCCTCATTACAACCTTGATGCAAAGGTAGGCTGCAGACAGACTAATTCTCAAATGGGAAAAGTGAAAGTAGGACAGTCATAGGAAGGATCTTTACAGGTGGGGAAAGCCTTTTAAACAAGAATCCCAAAACACCATCCATGAAGTTGAAAGAAAGACAGAACTTACGTCAACCTCAGCAACTTATATTCAGTGAAGTTTACCCTAGACTCATGCCATGCGTATGCCACACAACCAGGATAATATTATATTAAAATATACAAGGAGCTCCCTTAAATCATCCAGAAAAAGACAAAAAACTCAACAGAAAAATTTGCAAGTGATTTGGAATGGCAATCGTGGTGGGCGTAATGAGCACAGCTCCCCACTCAAAGGAGTTCAGGTCCCAAGGCCCAGAATCTACGACTATGTCGTCACATGAGAGGGACGCTGCAGGTGTTATTCACCCTGGATCGTCTGGGTGGGTCCAGTGTAATCATGAGGGTCCTTCTAATAGGGGGGTGGACGTCAGAAAGGAGCCATGAGGACAGAACAGGCAGAGAGGCTCGGGGCCACCGTCCAGGAGTGTGGGCGCCTCTAGAAGCTGGAAAAGCCAGAGAAGCCGATTCTCCCCGGAACCCCCAGGGGAAACCCATTTTTAGGCTCCACCCTCAGACCTGCAGCGGAATAAGAGTGCTGTGTCTGTGGGAACTTGTCGTGGCAGCCACAGGAAACTGCTACCGGGTGCACAAAAGAGGGAACACGGATGCTCCGTGGGCAGAATTCCTCTAAGTCCCGGGAGGTAAGAGAAACGCAGCACTAACTAGCAACCAGACACCATGCTACACCCATCGGTTCTGAAAAGCTTGGAAAGTTGGACCCCGTCGGATACTGGTGACAACAGTAGGGGCGGAGGAAGTTCTGGCACAGCCATCAGCGGTAACGCAAGGGCAGCCGGCCCAGGTGCAAGAGGGGACGCGTCCAAGGACACATATCACCTGCAGGTCGGACGCACTGGAGGGAACCCAGGTGTTCACACAGCACATGGACAGATGTTTAAAACGTGGAGACAAAAAAGGAGTCAAAGAAGAACGGTGTCAACCATTCCGGCCATCCATGAAATTAGCACATACACACGGAGCGCCCCAGAGCCACTCGGCAAACATTTCCTGGGGTGCACAGTGTGTTCAGAACGCCAGCGACGGGGCAGATGGAAATCCCCACCCCTGGGAGCTCACACTCCACACACACATTTGAGGGAGGATTTCAAGCCCACAGCAGGCAGGGCCATGATGAGTGGAGATGGACAGGGGCCTCGAGTGAAGGGGACGAATCCAGAAACATGGGAGGGAGAAGCCGGGACAACGGCAGAAACGCTGTGCGCAGCCCTCTGCTCCAGAGACTAGACGAACAAATGAGGGTAGAAAATACACAGCCTGGAGCCCGAGGGAACCCCACCCTCCGGCGGTGTCTGAGCAGGGGTTCCCGCCCCTGCACTGCTGGCGTTTCCCAGGCCTGATGGCAGACCGTGCATGTGCGTCGGCCTCCTGCAGGCTGACCCAGTCCCCACAGACAACCAAACAGCCTTGGTGTCTGCTTCAAGCCATGACCACCCTCCTCCCGGATCTCAGGACACAGGAGCCCGAACCCCTCCTTGGGCGGACACACCCCTGTACGCAGCCCATGGGCTCAGGTGCCTGCGTCCACACAACGTTACCCACTGACCTGATGGGTAAACCATACACGCTAGGTGTGCCCCAGCTCACACACAACTTGCTTGTGGTCCTTGAAGCCTGTCAAGTCCACAGGCACCACTGGCCGGTGGCCCGAACAGAAGCAGCTGCCACAGGTGGACGCAGGGACCACAGGGGGATGAGAATGAACCACATTTGTAATGACTGTGGGTCATAAGTTGTGTTTCCCATGTATCGTTAACCTTGACTCCCGTTTGGACACGAAGAATTTTCATTTTTACTTCAATCTTTTTGGGGAATCAAAAAGTCATAAATTCCCACCTGGTGCAGCCTTGGCTTATCAGTCAAATTTCCCCCCAGATTATAGTTTACAGGTATAGAGAACTTTCATCCTGGAATCAGGTGACGAGCTGTCTTTTCATGGCTCTGTTGCTGTGGCAGAACAGACCCGTCTCCAACAGCTTGAAATCGCTTCCAGAGCGCTGGGAAGGGAAGTAAACTTCCAACGTTTTCTACAAAGTGCATATAACATTAGTGATTAAAACCTAAAGACTGCACCAAATGAAAATACAGGTTTTCAACAACCCACCTATAAACATCAATATAAAAATGTAAATGAAATATAGAAACAAAGTTAATAGCACATTAGTAATAACGCAAGGTGATCAAGGAATGCTACGATGGGTCTATAACAGTTATCTATTCATATAATCCATTGTATTAATAATCCGAAGAAGAAATTCTATGGTCATCTTCAGAATTGTTAAAAAAGTATTTCTAAAAACATTCTTTAAAATAACATCGAATAGGGCTTCCCTGGTGGCACAGTGGTTGAGAGTCTGCCTGCCGATGCAGGGGACACGGGTTCGTGCCCCGGTCTGGGAAGATCCCACATGCCACGGAGCGGCTGGGCCCGTGAGCCATGGCTGCTGAGCCTGCGCGTCCGGAGCCTGTGCTCCGCAATGGGAGAGGCCACAACAGTGAGAGGCCTGTGCATCACAAAAAAACAAAAAACAAACAAACAAAAAAAACCCGAATAAAATGAAATAGATGAATGTTTCCTTACCATTAAGAAATATATCAAGTATAAAATACATTCTCATGCTTCATAGGAGAGTACTTCCACTGAAATCAAGAAAAAGCAAACATACCCAGTACTAGCACCATTGTATAACATTATACTGGAGGTACCAGTCCATGCAATTGGATATAAAAGAAAGAAAACACAGTATAAAAATTAGGCAGGAGGAGATAAAATTATCTACAGACTCTAAAATTGTATATCTGGATTTTCGTTAGGGTGCCAGAACATCTGATGTGGAAAGACGAGTAGTAATCAGATGGCGCTGGGACACCAGGATACCCACCAGGGAAGGAGGAGACG